TTCTTCTTGCAGTTCTGGCTGTCTCAGAGTCGCTGGGACGGACGAAAGCTAGAATGGATCGCTGGTAGAGATCTGTCCGAATTGGAAAAACACCTCTGGGTGTTGAACCGCCTGTGGGTGTCCTGATGCAGGGGCAGTGCACGCCGAAATTTTCGGCGCAACGAGTGACCTGCCATCATACAACATGCTATGACCCAGGCAACAGGCAGCTGCAGTTGTTATTCTCGCAATGCAGCCAGCAAGGGATTTTGTTAATACTAGCTATTAACATCACGGCTTGATGCAATAACCTTAAGTCCTTCTTCATTAAGTCGGAGAATATCACTGGGCTGGAGTATGTGTTTAGAGGGAAAGACGCATCCGAAAACGAAGAGGCGTACAGCTTCTTTTGCCAGGGATACAAGAAGTCTAATTAGCCTCTGTTGGTAGTAAGATTTCCTACGAACTTTTGCGAACACTGACCAGTCCAGTCCAGTCTATCGCATCATATGATCACAGGATATTTTGTAGTGCCGCAAGCCGGGATTAACTCCCGTTTAAAGTTGATACAATATTCGATGAGGGAGAGTTGATTATATCTGATGTCCTTCGTCCGGCAGGTTAGCTGGCCGCTTTTTTAATGGTTCAATCTTAAACCGTTGTTCGTGATCCATAGCTCAGTGTTTTTCACTGCATTTTGCAAACTGCACAAGTCGGGCTGATTCTCGGTGGAGCATAAAAGCACTGTGTCATCAGCGTATTTGATGCATGAGACACACTGGCGGCGCATGAGGAGTTCAGGTGAAAGTTACAGATCAGGGGAGATGGCACTGAACCATAAGAATGCCCTAGTTGTTCCGCTTCGTCGATGAATAGCGCCTTTCAACTCAACCAACTGTTGCCGATCAGAGAAATAATCCGCGAGCAGGCAGAGTAGGTTGCTCTTTACGCCTGCCTTTTGCAGACAGCAGGGAAGGCCATCTCTTGGCACGAGTTTGAAAGCCGCTCAGAAATCTAAGAAGACGACCTTCGCAATGGCACTGCCACAATCAAGGCCCGAGGCTAGCAAGTCCCTACAGCGGGGTAAACCGTCTAGGGTGGAATGGCTCCAGGTAAAAATGAATTGCCAGTTATCTTTCGCTAAACAAAGTTGACTGAGGAGCACTGAGGTCGAACGATGGTCTCGAGCGCTTTAAGCAACGCAGAAGTCAAGACGATTGAACGAAAATCTCCTCGTTTGATCGCAGCAGCCGTTTTTGGAATATGAATATTCTTGGACGTCCTCCAACAATCCGGAATCATTTCAGAACGCAGGCAGTAATTAAACAAATTGCACAACACGCCACTTGGTTCGGTTTTACACAGCACCACTTTAGCAGTAACCTGATCTGTTCCACGAGCGTTGTTTGATTTGAGGGAAATGAGAATGCGCCTCACGTCAAACCATCGGGGGCTACTGAGCGGCCTGGAATAGCGGTAGTTAGCAAATCCTTGTAGCATGGAAGTGTCTCTGCTGAATCACATTCGTTTAAGCCGTAGAGGTCGTCAGTGGGTTGTTTACGTAGACTTTTATATTCACCGCACCATCAGATCGTTGCCCAGAGTTATTTTGGCTTTTTCTGATCGAACAAATCCTTGATGTGTAGTTTATGGATGCTCTGGATTTTCTTACGGGTTTGCTGCCGAAAGCACTTGTAGAATTCGATGTCATCAGCGCGATAGGCTCTGTGGTTCAGACGGCGTAGGTGTTTTACTGCAGGCGTCGTCACGAACTTTTGGTTGAGTAGAACCTCATGGAAATGGCTGGCAACAGTTGTTACTCACAAAGTTAATGTATGAGCTAATAGCTTCCGGTCGGTCGTTCGGTGACGGGCCATCAAAAATCGATCAGTCTGTTGTTGTGAAGGCGTCTCGCACTTCTAGGACTTCCGCAGGGCAGGAAAGGTGTCGCCTCAGATGATGAATTTTAGGCAGTTGCGCTGACCCATTTTACTGTAAGTCTTCGGGATTAGGCTAATGACGCAATGGTCAGGATCAGCAACGGGCTCGAACTGTTTGACCCCGAACGCGGCTAGCCTGTTAGTCATTACGCAGTCAAGATGGGATGACAAGCGCGGAGGAAGAGTGATGATGTCGGACAGTCCGAGTGATGTAACGAAAGCGTTGTGGTGTCTTTGAAGTCGCCGGCGAGTACGAACAAAGACCTTCCCTGATGTGTTGATACACAACTCGTCAAAGCATCCGTGAAAGAACGTGATTGCGAGGGAATGCATCTGGGAGCGATGCGAATGTTTGTTAGTGTGTCATGTTGGAGTGTCCTGGCAAGAAGGGAATGGCACACAGCATTGCATGCCCCCGGTTGAATGCTGCAGGAGAATCGCACATTGGATGCACCACTTCTGGTTAATCCAAGCAGCTATACCACCCTCGTGAAGTTTGGACTTCGTATCGCAGAGTTTCGCTTTGCTCTGTACACAGTGTAGCTTCCGAAGCTGACCACCGCGTCTTCAACCGTTGCATGAAACCACGATCCTTAAACAGAGGGGAACAAGAGGAGGTTCCTCCACTGTCCTAACCATCTTGAGGTCTGTCAGTTTGTTCGGTCCCAGAAGAGAGGGAAAGGTATTGTTTTCCCGCTTCGTAGTTTTCGAAGTCTTCTGCCAGCCGGAAGACGTCCATCGAAATCGGCGGATGTCAAGATTCGCTAAGGAGCGTTTAGCTGCTTTCTCTTAATGCTTCGCAGTTGAGGCACGTCGGAGGGCGAAAAGTTCATCACAGGAGAAACATCAGGCAACCACTGTCAAAAGGGAAGTAAGCAAGTATTACACACAGTCAAACAAAACAAGAGTACGGACGCAAAATACAACAGCAAGTAAGCACTAGCTACGTGTGCAACTGTCAGGAGGCCTGAGCAAATTGCCGACCGACCGACCGACCGACCTACCGCTCTGAGCAGTGACATATACATTGTTAATAACGTCCATAGACTCACGTGTCTTTTGAGAAACAAAGATGATTCAGTGGATGGGCAGAAACGAAGCTGTCACCTTCGTTCCCCAGTGAAACCATGTCCAAGAAACAATGCGTTGCTTATCTTAATCATAAATAAATGCCATGATATGAATGGCTTTGAACTAACTTCAATCTGCTGTCCTTACAGATCAAGGTACTTTAAACATGGATAACTCCTATTCGAGAGATGGCGAACATAAATTTTATCGAACAGCGATTTATCTGACATTTCGAAGGAAAGAAATTAGCTCACTACTAGACGGGAAAAATGAAAAACTAAATGCTGGAATGACAATTGACACTCACATAAAAAATAAGCCATTCTTGATAGGGAGTATCAAAACAGAAATCTGCTTTATGCGCTGTTTCGTCCAAGTGAAAATCTTAGTATAGTAGACAAGATGAATACTTTAATTTAAAATCACTTTATAGTTAAAACGAACTCCTTTACAGTTCACGTGCTAATCTGTTTTGAAATGCAAATAATCATTTATGATGTTTCAAATATACATTGGCTTAAGGACGATATTTTACATAACATCGCCGCTGTTGCATTATGCTAAGCTTAATAATGAACAGTGCTTCTTCCTCATTGTTGGGAACAGCAGTTGCAAAGCAAATTGTACTAGTTAAACCATTTGGAAATATTTTCTGACACTTCAACAATAAATAGGTAATTTGATGGGCTTGCGGAAACTTGTTTCTAGTTTGCTGCATATTTCCTAAAGGAGGGACGTGTAAAGTTTGGTAGGCAAACCACTCCTAAAATTTAATGGTCTCTCGCATGCGGCCGCAAACTTCTTAAGAACTGATTATTAGCTTGGTCTGGTTTCCGCTTTCGGGAGAAAATGGGTTTTTGAAGTCTTTTCCGATTAACGACTTTTAACTTTAGACAAATTACGCTTTCCCGCAAAGGAATGACGTGTGCGGCACCCCTTTCTTATTTCTGAATTAATCACTGGATTAATACATAATCGAGAAAGTCATGAAAGTATATCACCTTTGTAACACTGCAATAAGATGCATATTGAGATCGAATAACTTAGAGGGTAAACTTCTGTTCAACACGTTCCTTTCATCATTAACTTTGTATCGCTGCTCATTCCAACCTGTAACTGATCGGTCGATGGAATGATACAACTCGTTCACCAATAAAAATTAAAGCAATTTAGAAAACCGGTCATCAGGAATCAGGAATTTCTGTTCAACCCTTAAAAGAGCATTAAGTGAACTGAAATCTGCACAGCGACTATATTTTAAAAAACAAAACGCGGACTATTGGTTCAAACTTAAATTCATGACGTTAGCAACTATGTGAGTCAGTGTCTCGCTAATCCAGGGATCCCTACCCACAGAGGCTCGATCAATGACGTGTTTCTGGTTGACCAACAACTGTGAAAAGAAGATTATCCCACCTGGACTTTGACATATGTAGAAAAACCTCCAAACGAACAATGCTTTAATGGTTTTTCCTAAGCAAAATCCTGCTGACGCCTGAGGGCGTATGGCGTATCTGTTCTGCAATTCAAATGTCAACAATCTACCAAACGCCAAACTTACATGATAAAGACAACAAGAACAGCAATCTTACTTTCAAGTGTGACCGAATTCCACTATGAATCAATAAGTGACTCAATGGTTTCACACCTCGGTCCACACGTATAAATAGCAGCAACTGATTATTCCTCTAACGCGCTGTTAGTAGAGGAATTGTAAGGTACAACTCTGCTTCTCAGTGCTCTTTTTGTACTGCAAAGCTTATGAATAGCAAACCGAAGCAAATACTTGAAGCTCCCTCCATTTAAAAAATTTATAATTATTAACTAGACACATTAACGTTCTCCAAATCAACCTTCGTTTTTTATGGAACATATGAAGATCATTTTTCTGATTTTTGGCATTAGAGACGTGTATAAACGGTCTTTTGTAATCTCAAAAATCAGTTTCAGACGCAATACATAGTACGTATGTTTTAATGTTATCTAGTTTCTAAGATGAGCAAAAATAATTTTGTAATCTGTCACTGTCTTTTATGAAGGACCGTAAGTAAAGTATCGTTTCTGAACAGCGTTTAATACTGCAGAACGCAAAACCATTACGCAAACAGCAATGACGGATTTAAGCTACCACGCCAATGTAGTTGATTCCTGACTTCAACCATGGTTCTGGTCTAAGCATCATACGAACAGCATCTAAATCTAAAGATTAAGTCCACGGTTATGGTAGAAAAAGCGAAATTTACTACTCATATATACATAGACTGAACATTGTGTCCCGCGTTCCAAGACACCCAGGATCTTCAGGCTGAAACAGTGACGTCAGTTATAGCTGACAACCACAAATAAGAACTTTATTTCAAACTGAAAAAACCTATGAAGTACGAGCTGATATGTGGACGGCTCCTTATCACCCTATTATATCATTATAATGCCAGTCAAAAAGTCAGTTTCAACGACCATTTATCCTTTATGGTCGTAGAGGGACGAATCAGACACTACTTCAACGTTCCCGTTTTCAGAAAACACTGAATTCCGGCAGAAAATAATCCAAATCTGAAGAAGACTCTTTCCAAGCACTTGCCCAAGGTCATTCTTGGTCGTTCCAGGGGTCTTGGGCTAGTCGGTTGGTCAAATAGCATGTTTTGCCTTCCGCGCTGAAGGCATTCGCAACAGGTGTCCAAACCATGTTAGCTGTGATTTTTCAATATTCAAATTTTCTACCGCTGTGAATAGCGGCCATACACCAAAGGCCTCATCGATATCTGAACTCCACCATATGTTCAGACGCGTCAGCTGAGCAATTCGTCTCAGGAACACAATCATAACCGCATTTAGCCGAAATCAAAGTTATTCAATCATGGTCCACGATTTATGAGGAAGAAGATCGACTTGAAAACGTATGTCTTATACTTCAGACTGAGCTCTGCTTTCGTGAAAATCATTCATGAAGCCATTCTGATTCACAAATTGGTATCCTCCCATATATCATCACTAGAAAACACGGCCCCGAGGTACATGAATCACTTCACTTCCTATGAAGCACTAGGCTTTCGGCATCAAATACATTCACACCCATGCCAGCCACGTCGCCTCGCTGAGAAGCTTTCCAGAGTGCTGTAGATCGGTGCCAGCAAAACAGGGTCCTCTACAAACAGCAAATTTCGCACATTTGTCACTACATCTCATACAATGATATATCCACCATTCTAATCGCGCTTGACTAATCGATCCTTATATAGCAAAACCCGGAGGTGAAAACACAGCTTTGACGGATACCACTACCACCATTGGAAGGACTCAACTTAACGCCATTTACTCTGAGGCAGTACCTACCATCAATATATAGTGGTGGCAACTTTCTTTCGATCTCACACATTTGCGGGCAAGTTCATTTCTAATCTTCATGAGGTAGATCAAGTCGTTTGAATCCGCAGCATTCCGCAGCAGCCCCGAGAATGCCGCTCTTAAAGAGCACCCACTCAATGGTCATCACCGGGATGCTGTTTGCAAGTTT